AATGTATTGAGGTCATTTTGACCAAATTTGACTTAATCCTCATTTTGATATGATGGGTCACAAATATGTAAAATTGACGGGCGTCATTTTTGTGTTGGTTGTGTTTCATTAGTAGATGCAGCCATCTTGAATTGACTGAAATTTAAAGGTGACATTTCATGCAAAATCTACCTTTTTAAGCTGTTAAATACATTTTGTTGTTTACTTGGCGTCTCTAGGAGGCAGAAAAGTTGAATTTAGTCTCTCCTGGTGCTGCAAAGATATCTTTATTTTCTGTTTGAATCTGATTTTTCAACCTGTTCAGTTTTCTTTATTTTTTACGACGTTTTCTGGACTATTATGTCAAATTATCTGATGGAACTGCCAAATAAGGTCTGGACCAACTACAGTTTCCTCCACTTAATTCTCCTCTGGTTCTGGYTCAGACTGTGGTTCCAACATGTGAGGCTGGATGGACAAGTCTTCTGTTGTTGACATCTTTTAATTAAATAGTAAATAAAAAATCTCTGCACTGCTCGAAAACATAACCCCTCCTCTCTCAAACCGAAGTGGACCGGTCTGGAAGCAGGAGGGGGGCGGGGCTTGAAGCYTCTTAAAGGAACAGAAACCAAACGGCTGCTCTGAGACGCAGCAGAAAAGTGGTGAAAGAGGAGCTGGTGAAGTTAGAATAAGGAGGAATTCAGACCCAAGCATTGTAGTTCCACTTTATAAAGACCCAACTGAYTGATTTAAATGTGAAAAAGAAGYTTTTAAAAGCATCATATGTCTTCTATAAAACGTATTTTTCCTTCTAGAGTTCTGAGAGTTTAACTAAAACCTATTGAAAGGTTCACGAGATATTTTGCTAACAGAGTTGACTCTAACCATCAATGCCAAAGTTTAATGTAAAGTTTCTGTTCAGTGTATAACACTAAGTATGTGTTGGGGATAATTTTCAGCCACCATCTCAGTAACTTTTAGTTACTGTACAGTAATTAATAAAGGCTGATCTTATTTTATTACTTCATGATAGTTTTATTTAAATCTGGTGCTTTAGGAGATATATTTGAGATAAACACAAGTCATTATAGGGCGATATAAAGATCAGCGTGACTGACTGCATCTATTAACCAAAAAGTGATGTTATTTTTTTTCCACATCTTCAGGTGCAGCCTAAACACGTGAAGGAAGCCTTCCGCCTCCTCAACAAGTCCATCATCAGAGTGGAGACGCCCGACGTCAACCTGGAGCAGGACGCGGAGCTGGAGGAGGAGCAGGAGCAGCAGGATGGTGGGGTCACAGCTTCCTTAGACCTGCYTCCTGCTGTTTTGGTTTCCGCCTTTGCTGAAACGAACCATGTGTTGTTTTGTAGGCGGCAACGTCCCAAATGGAGTGAACGGCCACGCTGATGGCATTAACGGCCACGTCGACGGCGTAAACGGCCACGCTGAGCCCGGCACGCAGCCCAAACCGTCCCTGCGCCTGTCCTTCGCTGAATACAAGCGCATCTCCAACCTGCTGGTTCTTCATCTGCGCCATGTGGAGGATGGTATGGGCCATCTGCTTCTCTTTCTCTTACTGTTAACATAAATTGTAGTTTAACAAATACTATGCCTTTTTTTAAAAATGTTGCAGCTGAGGAAGAGGAGGAGCTGAAGAAAGCAGCTGTGGTMAACTGGTATCTGAAGGAGATCGAATCAGAGATCGACTCAGAAGAAGAGCTGATCAATAAGAAGGGCCTGATAGAGAAGGTTATCCACAGACTGGTGCACTATGTGAGTCAGCCCACACTAAACAGTTAAAATTAGTCGTCTAATTTCAGCTCTTTTAACTTTAAATTCTGCTTTTGTTTTTAGGATCACATCCTCATCGAGCTGTCTCAAGCAGGACTAAAGGGCTCGGAGCCCGAGAGCACAGARTCAGACGTCGTCCTGGTTGTCAACCCAAARTACATCCTGGAGGACTAAAAACTCTTTATAGCTTGAAACAACACAACTATCCTTTATAAAGTTATACTGATACTCAAAGGTGCAAGTGTTGGCTATGCTGTTGTATTTAGAGTTGATTTCGGCAGAACGAAGAAAAAACGAGACTTCAGTGAAAACYTAAGGCGTTGTAAATATGCTGCTGTTTCTTCCAGATGTTTTTGACCGTTTTGAATAACTGTATAATAGAGATTCACAGGAAGACTTATAACATGTTTCCAATTTGTTATGTTTTGTATTATGCCATGAAATGAATGGGAAATGTTAGTTCAGTTAATAAAAATGTTTCTGTAAACAGTTGTTTTGGTGATTTCATAAAAGCGCAATACCTGTGCTGGCCGCTAGATGGAGTCTGTTTACATAAGGACTTAACATCACTGCGCATGTCTGTTRAGCTCAACCAACATGGCGGCCTCCTGTATGACAGCAGTTCGAACATCTCTGACAGGTGAAACTTGTCACTACTAATGAATTTATCACATGAACACATTTACTTGTAATTTAATAAACGCAGTTTTTTTTGTGGTTTTAAAATAGTCGTTTTTCGACGTTTCTCTTTGTGTGGTCACTATCAACAAACTAAGTTGTATATTTGTGTAAAAGCTTAGATTTGTTCCCCAGGTGTGCATCTTGTTTCCTGTCGGTCGCTCCTCAGGCAGCGCGTTCAAACCCCAACAGTGTGTCACCGTTTGCGGGTCCATGTTTCCCCCTCTGCCGGGCTGTGGAGCTCCAGGACGGAGCCGCAGGGCACCGAGCGGACACAGAGCTCAGCCGGCAGCAGGAGAGCATACGAGGATTTGGGGGGTCCTGAATACATCCCCCGGAGAAAGGCAAAGAACCCGATGATGATTGTAGGCTTTGCCTGGTGAGTCTGCGCCTCGCCCCTTTTACACTCGTCTACATGCAGAGTCTGGTCTGTTCTCAGCCAAAAACAGAGCTTTTATTTTGGTGCACACGTGACTTCAGATTGGTTGTTATGAATGAAACGAGTGAATCTGGCATCAGTGCTTTACTTGGGTCGTTAAAGAATTGACCAGGGATAATTATTTCTTGCTGCCTTTCTGTTTTAACATTAAATATAAGTAAATAATGGTGATGGACCATTTAGTCTAATTTAATGACTCACAGATGAGGCCAGAGTCAGAGAGGTTCTGCTTTAAAAGGAAAAGAGAAAAACAAAATTAGTTTACATTAACAAACACAACACTCCTGAAAAAGTCAAAGGCATTTATCTTTTGTTTCCTTATATTTTACTGTGTATGATTCTAACAAACATCTGTCCTCTGATCCAAACCAGTTATTGGAAATGTTTTCATTCAGCATTTATAGGCTGGATAACCYAATTRYTTAWGTTTGGTTTYACCAAGCCCACCTGCWGTAAACCAGGTCTGTCGGGACATTTACTTTGAAATGAAGTTGCTCTTTGATCAAACTTGAAAGAGATGATGAGGCACTTCCAGTCTTTTAACGGGGGATTTATTGCAAGCAGAGTTCTCCTAATGAACTATTCCTTTAAAACAGAGGTGTCCAAAGCCATTTGATCTGGCCCACCAGCAGTTGTCCTGCTACCAGATTGTATTCTCCTGTTTTATGTAGAAACACTATATTTCCACTTAGTTATTCCAACTATATAAAGTGCAGATAGTCTTAACTCATGGTACTTATTTTATCTTTGAATTACAGTAAAACAAATGCGAGCAATTTAAGAAACATTTAGATTAGATTGAAGCACACATCTAGATTTGCACACTTTATAAGCCCACAAATACTCAAATTTTAATTTATGAAAAGTCCCATGAGGTTTTGTGTTCGAGTGTGCATCAAATTTTCTGCACATCCATTAGCTAACAAAAAAAATGTGAGCTGCTAGCTTAATCATGAAAAAACAAAACAACTTTACTCAAMAAGTCTTTGCATTTCATGTTGTTGAATTAGGCCCGCAGCCCTCASATCGATTTTCATTTTGTCCCTCTGAGGGAAAAGTTTTGGGCACCCCTGCTTTAAAGGGTTTGTTTGTAATCTGACTCCACAGAAAGGCATGTACGCTTAAATGCTTTGGAACTATTTTTTTTATTAGTCTAGAAAAAAAGGCCATAAAAAATACTGGCACTTTAGGGAGATAATGCATTGTGATCTTTCGATCTTCAAGACAGATATCTAGTAGAGGATTTATTTTTAAAAATCAAGTGGTTCAAGAACTAGTGTTAATTTAAAAAAAATAAAGAGAAAAGTTGATATGCTAGCATTTTTCTGCAGTTGACAGGTTCTCTTCATTCTTTTTGTCTCTTACTTGTATAAYTATTGGTAGCAAATATTAGGTAACACTACCTGCTGTAGTATAAATATAGTGGTTTAAGACAGGTCTGAAATGATTTCAGTTCATCTAGTATCAGTACAAACCCTGCCTGAAGTCATCTGGATATTTGTTTTCCTCATTCTAATTCTTCTATTCCTCTGTGTTCAGGTTGATAGGACTACCCATGGGCYTCATCAGCTTCCTGCTGGTCAAGAGACAGGTGGACAAAAACCGCCTAAAGCAGCTGAAGATTCGACAGCGGATGAAACGATCAAATGAAGGCGATTATGAAGGGAGTCGCTATCTCAGACACAGACAGAGTGAAAAACTGGACTAATATGACTCACAACACATCCTGTGTGACACCAGCACTACTGAGGAGAGATATAAAAAAAGAAGTGTACACATTAAATAAGAATCATCACTGGTGTAACTGCATATAAACCACACCACGCCTCAGCAAATAAACAATTTATTACATGTTTGAAAGCAAACAGCTTCTCTTAAAGACTGATTTGTATATTTACAACCTTTCACCTACACTAAACTTTTCTTTACACCYTATGTTGAAKTTGAATYAAGGCTTTTCTAGATTTTTGGCTTAGCATATTTATACTGAGTGACGTTTGTGGAACCAGCAGGGTGGAGCTGGTTCGGTCAGGAGCTTTTGGACACTGACGCTTTGGCTAAAAATTTTATTAATTTAATTTTAATTTTGGATAAAAATTTAAAATAATCCTGCTGAAAGAGGCTGTCTCTCTGACTGAACAAACAAACAAACAAACAAACAAAGCTAACAATACTTCAAAAATGTTTATAAAACCCTCTAAATCATAAGGCGCATGTTTTCTGAACCTCTGTAAAGAGAACAGTATTTAGATGTAACAACGTGTAAAAGCACACGATATAGTCAGACTAATATGAAGTAAAGCAGATCGTTGGCTGCTGTTGGAAGCACCGAGCTGTACAGAGAAAAATGTTTAGACACTTTGTCTTAACTTCATTCCTGCAGGAGGTCAAACACTTGAACAGTTAGCATTCTTACGCCTTTACATGTTTACATTGTATAAATATGTGTGCATTTTTAAATGCCTACATCTACATTTGAACTAAATCAGATTCAGCCCTTAGATATGTTCCCTGTATCTCCTTATGACTTACAAAACAATAACCTTTTCTTCGAAAATGCAAACAAATAATAAAAAAAATAATGCGCGGAGCAGTTCTACTCCTCAGAGCTGACCCAGTTTCCACCGGTTGTCTCATTTGTTGGAAGATCCTATGATCTGCAGCAGGAACAGGAAGATTTGGACGATGTCAACYTAGATGGAGAGCGCAGCAAACACGTACTCCTCTGGACTGATTGAGTGCTTCCTGTTTCCTATCAGTAACTGTGTGTGGTATGCCAGGAACTAGAAAGACACAAACATCAGAGTTTATTTGGGGGAAAAAAAAAACCTTGAAAAGTGAGCGAGGAAGTCGAGCTCGACGGTGAAGTAAGAGCACTCACCAGAGTGAAGACGATGGCTCCTAAAGCTGCGTAAAGCATGTGGAGCCAGTAAATCTGCAAGGACAAACAGTTGTTAGGAGGCACAGAAACGTGACGAGCTGTGGCGGATGGATTCGTCTCTCGCTGACATCAGCTCTGACATCAGCTCTGACTCACGTATTTGAAGGAAAGCACGATGYCTGTGATGATGCCGGTCACAAACATCACAATCCCCAGAACACAGAAAAGGCCCTGACACTTGGTGAAGTCGACCTGGAGGACAAGTCAGGACGTGTTTAAACATGTTGGAAGGATAAATACAGAGCAGACATTTGAGGCTAAGCTGTCACACATATTTGTATTTCTATTCTTATTAGGACCATGTATTGACATGGATTTCCTTTCTGCAGCCTAACCCTGACCTCAATTCATACCTTAGTCCTAAACCTAACCCTTTGGTCTCCAAAAGAACTACTGGTCCTGACAAGATAGGTGTTTATAACCAGGGTTGCACATAAAATATTTGGTCTGGTTCTCAGGGGAGAACCTAGGGTTGTTTCTTGGTGCTCACTCATATTTCCTTCACTCATTGAACAAATGTATCTAGAGGGGCGTCAGGGCATTTAACGTCCCCCTGTTCTGTTTTATGACTCCTATC